TGTAAATAAAAATAGTCACCATTTGATGCGAAAATATGCATGGATATTTGTTTGCGGACATTATCTGTTACTCAAAGCTCACAGTTTTCCTTGAGCTTCACTCTTGGAAATCTATTTGCTTCTCGGAACAGATAATGTCCAAGGACAAATATCCGAACATATTTTTGAAGCCAAATGGAGGCTATTGTAGTTATTGTCCTTCAAATATTTTTTCACAAGGCTGCTCTGTTTGCCGTGGAAGATCTCAGTCAGCCAAGCTGTTAAACATCAAAATAATTCTGTTGGCGTTCAAAAATATTTCTAGTCTGTTCAAAACAATCAGTTTTATTTAATTTAGCAATTTATTTGAGATGAAAACTGAACCTGTGAACGTGAAACGCAAATTTTCCAAACTGGGTAATATCACTTGGGGAATATCACCTGGATATTCCCCAGTTTTGGCTGCGTCACGTGACGTGTTTAGACCAATCGCGCGCGAGAAAAAATTTTGATGGATTATAACAGTAATTATACAAGTTGTTGGAACAAGGAACTGTGTTGTAACTTAGGTTTTAGTCCTGGCGTTTAAATAATTTTTGTGTTGAGTAGTAGTTACCAAAGCAGAAAACTTGACCCGGAACTTGCCTACCAAAATATTGGCACTGATATATGCCACATGTGGGTTACTATCAATATGTGATAAAACTAAAATGTTAACAATCACCGTTGAATGAATAAATTGTTGGCAGATGATTAAATTGCGTTTTCAATGACTTGTCCATCTGAAGACGCAACTTTGTGGGGTTGGGTGTTCCAATTGAACTAACTATATTGTTATCTGTACAATACATGACCTCTACTCAGGAATGGCTTCCATTTTCCTCAACATTTCCAACTGGTGGGGGTAGAACCATGTCAAAGAAACGGGTGATCACCATACCGTTTAAAATGTTGTACATGTGGTGCATTTTCTGGGCAAAAGATAGATAGAGGATGTTGCACAAGAGAGAAAAACAAAGCTCTGGTACCCTGGGTCTTAATCTGTAACACAGTAAAGTTGCACAATACAGACCACTGAGAAGCTTTTCCCATGTTTTCTCGCCAATTTTGTTCATTGGGGAAGCAGGGAAATTTTACTCGAGAAATCCGGGAAGTTTACCACCACCTGGCAATGATACCGAAAACTGGTCGAGACCATCATTCTCACTTGGATAAAAGATTCCATGTGATCTATTATATTATATATTACTTTTAGCCGGTACCACTTGTAATAATAATAATAATAATAATAATAATAATAATAATAATACTTTATTCAAATAAACATTTGGGTGAAGTGGAGAACTCTTATCCACTATTCTCTTCTATTCTCATATATTCTCTCACAGACATAGTCATGGATATCAAATTGTTTTTACTTTCGGTCTCGCAGATTTCATTTTTTCATTATATTTGTTCTGTTTGTCATTTGTTTGGGTTTTCATTTGTTTTCTGACATGGGATGATATATCTTCTTGGACTTTTCTTTTGGAAGTTGCCCAGTTTTTATCCGAGTCTTTGAGAGACTGTTCCTGGTGATCTGTATGTGGTTGTTGAGGTGATAGGGATGTTGCATAGTCGACTCCTTCATTTGGTTCCTCAGCACATTCTATTGCTGGTTCCTCTTCTTGGTCTGCTGATGTTATAGTGTGGGTATGAGGAACAATGCCAAAGAGAAGCTCATAAGGGCTCCTTGAAGTAGCTCTGTGTATTGTGATGTTCTTTTTATAAGCAGCCTCTCCCACAAAATTGCACCAGTTATGCAAGCTGACTTTTTTCCTATAAGATGTTTGCCAAGTTTTCTTTAAGTGTTGTGTTGTTTAGTTCAACTAGTCCTTGTGTTTGCGGAGTTCTTGGAGCTCCGTGCACTTGCTGAATTTGATGTTTCTGGCAAAAGTCTGTCATTTTCTTATTCTTAAATTGCTTTCTATTGTCTGTATGGAGCTTTGTTGCAAAAGCCAACCTGCCAGAAGAGTTGTGTGACTGATTCTAATACTTCCTTGCCAGTTTTATGTGATAGAGGGTAAAGCCACAAAAACTTGCTGTAATGATCATTTACGTGTAAAAGCCAGTTGTGATTGTTTCCACACAAACAACTCAAATTCCTGAAGTCTATCAAATCCAACTGTACATGTGATAGAAAATTACTTACCTGCATTGGTGTTGTTATCAGCCTTTTCAAATGGTCCGTTACACTCTTCTGCTGATGGTGTAAATGGCAGAGATATAAATAAAGTTATGACTTGTTGAGTTCTGCATATGACCTCTTCAGAAACTCCTCTGTTTTGTCTCTTCCTCTGTGGGCAACTGCCGAGTGAACCTCGCATAAAATGTTGAAAAGTTATTTTCTTGAGACGACAATCTTCCTGTCTTTTGACAATATGTTATCATTTTGGATTGTCCTTTGCTTTCGCTGAATCGCTGATACATCATTTTTCCAAGTCCGAAAGTCGTTATGATTTCTGCTTTTCACTTTGAGCCAGTTTTTAGCATTCTGGTAAAATTAATCATCTATAAAACACAGTCAATTGAATGCCATGCTTTCCCTTGCCTTTGAGTTTCGAATTGGTGAAGTCCAGTTTGCACTTAAATGCGCATGCTTGAGTATTTGCATAAATATTTCCATTATATTTTGCCCGAGAAGAGACATAATTATTAATCATACAAAGAAATGGATGGTTCATTGCAAAGACTTCCTGTGTAGCGTAGTGGAGATCATGATGGACTTCAAATCTGGAGTTTGTGAGTTCGAATCCTGGTAGGTACTCAAATAAAATTTCTTTCTTTCATGTATGAGTTTGTTTGATGTATACCAACTGTAGGGGTGGAGGGGAGGGAGAGTTGGTAAGATGGGTCGGGGGGTGCCATGTGGGGACTGGGGGGAAAGGGTGACAGAGAGTAAAAGAGGGTGGGGAGAGACAGAGAGAGAGTGACAAAGCGGAAAATGTTTTTTATTTATTTATTTTGAAAATAAACTGGAAAAAATTAAACTATTTAGAAAAAAATTAACTACTTAGAAAAAAAAATTAACTACCAGTTAGGAAAAAAATAAGTAAAAGTAAAAATTAACTACAACACATGTTTTGTTCGTATTCTGAAGTGGAACTAATGTTTCACATGTTTGGATGGTCGTGGAAGCATTAGGTATCAGCTGTAAAAGCTGGCCAACTTACGCACAACTACACAGTAGATAATGGTTATCATTAAAAACTGGATCACGGATATTGGATTTCTAGCTTTTTGATTGGTTAAACGGAGACAGTCTATCAGGTGATGTACCTGCTCCGACAAATATGAACGTGAGAGCTGAATTTTTTCTCTCTGCAAGGAAACAATGGCCGTCGGAGAAAATTGTTTCACGGCAGAATTGACCGAAGACGAAGTAACAGAACTGATAGAAAATGCAGCAAAGTTTGGAACTGGCAGACCGCGCCAGCCTTTTTGCCGCCGTTTTCATACAAATCATGCTTCATTTAGATTGAACTGAAAAATCACTCAGTCAATTAATTAAAAAGTAATACCGAAGTTTAGTTTAGTGAAGTTTTTCATAATATTCCATTCGCCCTTGTTGGATATGAGAGGATTATAGCCAACTCACGCTACACGCTCGTTGGCTATTTATCCTCACATATCCAACGCGGGCTCATGGAATAATTGTTAAACATGCCTTCACAATGGCTTGAGCAGCATTCTCCTGAACTCCCAATAACATTCATGTCTGTCGGTGTGCTTTGCATCAGGCATCGCAGACAAATCTGCAATTGAGTAACACGCTTTTGGATGCATTCTGCAGTATCTTCCCCAGAAACCCGTTTTCCAGTGTACTTGATACCAACTGGAAGGGACAGATTGTTATCTAACAGGTAACTATTTCACAGTTAACTTCAGTTACAAAAGAACTCTTGAGAGTCACTGGCTCAGGTGACGGATTTGCCTTAACATAATCTAAGTCAACAGGGAAAAGAAGTCCAACCAAATTTTTAAGGCGAGTGTCAAATTGGAGGCCTGGTTTGATACTCATTCTATCGGTAGCCAAACTAACTGGAATGATACAAAGATCTGGCTGATCGATCAACAGGACCACTCCACTTTCTTCCAACTGCGCGATTAGCAAATAGGAGACAAGAAGACTCTTAATAATGCCATTTTTAGTCGTATATCCCGCTTTTTCTTTGTTTCTTGTTGACTTGGAAGGGATAAATGGTAGGTTCCAATCTTCCATCGAAAGTACGTCCCACCCTTTTTTCTGACCCTTGAAACCCAGACAACGGAGCAAATTCATTATCTTATCCTTGCCGTGGAAGGCAAGTAAGTAATATCTTTATTTTGAGAGGGTAGCACGTAACAGCCAGGCTAATAAACTTGTGGCCCTCTAAAGAGTCTCTGAGAATAAGATGACATCCTTGTCATGAGAGAATTGCTGCCTCGGATCTCCCGACTTTAGGGCAAATTGCACCCCATTGTTTAGAACTTTGTAAAAAATATGATCCCGTGGGAGATTTCTACTCTGAATTTCTCTTTGAAGAGCCATTACAACTGGATCCAACTCTTCTAAGCTTCTGTTGACAATTAAAGACATATTGGAGTCACATGGTGTGAAGAAAACACACAAATCTATTGATTGTAGTTTGAAAGATAATTGGATTGAATGTTTTTTCCCTTTCGTTGGGCATCGAGGCGTTCGATGATGGTTCAATGATATAATTAATTATTGTTGTTTTGAATAAAATAAATACAGGATACAATTGATGACTTTTGACGAAAGCTAACTTACAAAAAGCCATCACTGTCCACATCATACTCGTCATCCTCAGAATTCTTATCTGGTTCATCGATGTCATCAAAAGTTGTATTAGCTGGGGCCGTGTCGGATTGTTTGTCCTCCAATTCTTCACTTATTAAAAAAAAATGAGACAGACACATTTTTTACTGAGAAAATATCTTACACTTGAACCTAGTTATATGGCCTTAGCTCCCACGAGTCTCCTGTAGCTCAGTGGTAAAGCATCCAACCGGCGTGCGGAAGGGCATAGGTTCGACTCCTGTTGGGGGAACTCGGAATTTTTTTCCGAGTAGCTTGTGTCACTGACAGAATAATATCTTTCTCAAAATATCTTTATTTCAATATCTTTTATTTCACTCTAGTATCTAGTTCTCGGCTGTACATTCTTTACAAAGCATCCGTATATATGCATACAACTCTGGGAACGGCACACACACGCATGTGCATCCAAAACAATGTAGTACAGAAAGAATTCTTATGTTGATTGAAGTGACTGTATTTTTGAGAAGAGAATATATCTCGTATGTCTCCGCTCTTGGCAATTTTGCAGCACTTCCAGTGATCTGTTACAGAAATGAATAACATAAATACAAGAAGTTAAACATCTGTGTTAATAAGAGACAATTAGGTTGGCAGCTGTTGTTCCTCTACGAGTTCACTACAGGTAGCATACAATCATACAAAGGCAGACCTAACTGTGGTCAGCCTTTACGTTCAGATTGCCGCTTTATACACGTTATCAATACCATTGATCCTACTTTTCCATGTGCCCGACACAATGGTATGATATTATGGACAAATGGTGTACTTACTATCATTGAAATGTTCATGATACCGCAACTGGTTAACCATTCATGTACTTCCACACTTCCCACTTTTCATGAATCTCAGTCAACGCCTGAGAGCCTGGGTAATGGCTTTGTACATCTGAAAAGTAAAATAACTTTATATCACTTACAGTGTACTTATGTACAAGAAAATAGAAAGCTGAATTGGTGAAACTGAAGCCGAGCATCTTAATACCGGCTGATTGTGTAGATTATCTCTGGGTATAAAACGAAAAACGATTTGAACTTTTATGAATGAGTGACTGCAACAACAAACGATTAACGAAAACACTTGAGTGTCTACAGTTCGAATGCTCACATGTTACTAATCGTTACAAGGGTGCTTTTGGAGAAAGTTTTATCATGTGTGCATTCAGATAAACTGCTGTCGGTAGTAACTAGGAGTTAATTGGCGCCGGCGTACAAGTCAAGTTTATACGTTTCTCATATACAGAAGACCATAAGATAACTTACCTTTCTTAAACATTTCTAACAGCTTTTGTTGTTCCTCCAGCCTAACGTACTGAAATTGTAAGGCACAACAATCTTTAATGACCTTTAATGGTCTTTAATATACTTGCCTGTCAAACTGTAATGTCCGATGCCGCTTTATTAGTGTCTCCGAATGTTCTCCCATTCCATCTGGGTTGTCGCCATGTACGTTTTGCTTTCATCTGAGACTCCAATGTTGATATTGAAGTTTCCAATCTGGCACCTCCTTGCATCACTTGTGAGACCATAGTCTTTTCGTAGGTCTAATTTTAAGGCAGAAAGATCCTTATGGGCCTCGCGCATGGCTACAAGAGTGTGCCTGAGACAGGATCTTTTATTGTGGCCATACTTATAAACCTCGATGTTTTCCTTGTTAGGCCTCATCAGCGAGAAATGATGGTAAGGGAAAAATCGGTAAATAATAATAAAAATAATAATGACTTCATTAATGGTCATTAATGTGTCGTCTGGGGTAAAACATAGCCGAGGGGGGAACTCTGACACCTAAATCTAAAGTACAATGCTTATTTGCAACAGATATAGAATTTATGAGGACAGAGTAAAGTTGACAAAGCTCAGTGGAAATAAAAAGAGTGGATATTTATAACACTGTTATTAATGTAAGCCTAGACCACTACCGTGCAGGGTCTGGTAATTACCGTAAAACTCCATGTATAAGCGGCACCTTTTTACTTAAAATTTGCGTTTAAAATCAGGGGTGCGGCCTATCTACGGCACCATCTGCGATTGGGGTTCTCAGCGGCCTAATTAATATTCATAAAAACCTCTTAAGATGTTATTGAATAAACATATAACAAACTGAAAGTATGTTGTTGTTGATCATTGCTTTTATGACCGGTCGAAAACTTTCATTGGCAAATCTTGTTCCTCGGTTTTAACTTGCGTGGGAAATGGCCGACCATTTCAATGTTTTTTACTTTTCTTGCACAGCAACTTTATCCACTAGATTTTGAATTATTGTCCTGCATCAAGTTTTCTGCTATTGAAAGTTCCCAAACATCTCAAAAGACATGGTACTGTTCCTCAGACCACTGAATACATGAATGCAAACGTCTCCATTTTGCTCATACAAACTACGATCTTAACTACGATCCCACGATGTGGTGGCCAGACTTCTCTCCACTTGTTAATACTTGGTTACTGAGCTATCGCTTCATACCGATTCGTACTGTTGTGTCTTTTTTCTAGATACCGCGCGGCTTAGTGGCCACGCGTCACATAGTTCCCAGAAGTCCTTGCTGTTTGCGTGGCGCGTGTTTCGGACCGGCCATGTTTGAATTGTCATTCGGCCATGTTTTGAACTGTTGAAGGACATGTTGAACTGTTGAAGGACTTTTTGATCTTATTACCTATTATCCACACTAGTGTGAGTAGCTTTTCCTTGATTTATTTCTTGAGAGTCATATTTGTGTTTCTAGCTATATTCATTTCCAATTATTGTATTGTTTGCAGCGAATTAAACGAATACTCCGAAGTTGTAATATCGACGTGTGGGAATAAAGTAGTTATATATGACGTCTGTACACGAACGCTCCGACGACCACATCATTCGACTAGTGGATCCCGGGAATCAAGATCGACTTGTGGATCCCGAGAACCAAGAGAAAGAGAGCGAAGGTCCAGCCCGTGGCGAAAACGTGGAGGAATCGGATGGACTCGAGCAACACAAGAACTCGCTCGCAGGCCTCCTTGGACGCGTGAGTACAATGTTGAAGGATGCGAAGTTAGCTTGCTGTCTTGTCGACTGTAATGACAGTGAATTAGAAGACGCCCTGACGAGATTGAATTCAGCTTGGCATAAATATGATAACTGTTATAAGACTTATGTCGTGAAAGATCTGCCAGAAGGAGAGTCCGATCGCGTCAAAAACAGATATACTGAGACACAAACTGATTATAATGAATGCAAAAAGACAGTCAATGATCGCCTATTTCAACTGAAGAGCCAAAAGAAAACGAAAGCGAAGTCTGTGAAGTCAATACCCTCTTCCAGGCAGTCCAAACTGAAGAATTTGAAAAGGGATATTGAAGTAAAGAAATTATGGCTCGAGCAGGAACAAGAACTAGCTCAGTATGAATTAGAAATGGAAAAGAAGAAAATTGAACTGGAATTTGAAAGGAAAAGAAGAGCTTGTGAAATGAAGTTTCAGATACAACTAGCAGAGAAAGAGGCAGAACTTTTGGAACAGGATGGTAGTGAAACTGCTAGCAATCACACTCTAGAAGACAAAGGGCGAATTCTTTCATGCCACCAATGACCGAACAAGAAAAAATTGATCAATGGGACGTGAGTTTTGAGATGAAGCCCTTAAATCCCAAAGCCGCAAACTTTTCACCTTTACACCAGAAGCCCCCTGCAGGTATCGATCCAACTCCTAGGACAAAGATTGAACCCAGCGAAAAAGAAAATACCCCCGAGAAGGGGTGTGCGAGGCCTAGGGTCAACCCTGCATCTGTTGAATCCACCACCCGGAGTGACCGCAACACAGCAATTTTGCTGAAGCTCACGATGCTTCAAGCCATGCAACCAATAAAATTCTCAGGCAATCCTAGTGGCTATCCCACCTTTAGAAACAGACTTCGAGACAATTTGGAGGATGGCATCCTGAGTGACAGTCAAAAACTAGAATTTCTGCCTAAGTTTCTGACCGGCGAGGCCTATGAAGTAGTAGAGAGGGTGTCAGGATGTTCTTATGATGCAGTCTCAAATATTTTACATGAACGCTATGGACAGCCAGCTGCTGTCGCAGATGCCTGTATAGAGGACTTAACAAAGGGACCAAGGCTATTGTATAATGACTATTCTGGATTGCTAAATTTTGCTGAACAACTTGAGTCAGCCTCCAAGATACTGTCTGGGTCCTATGAACAGGAAGCTAGTACTATGGCAAACCTGAGACAAATTGTAAGACGACTACCAAACTATCTTGTGAATAAATGGGGAGATATTTCATACAGCATTCGGGAGAGCGGAACCCCCCCACGGCTGTCCGATCTTGCCAAGTTCGTCAAACGTCAGGCTGCCATTAAGAATGATCCGGGATTTGTTCTTGACAAGAAGTCTGAGAGACCAAATGAAGTAATCGCTAGAGCATCTGGTTCACATTCAAACAGACAAACAAACACTTTCCTTACCGACTTCAACGCTGATGGTTTAAAGGCCAATTCCCAGAACACTGAGATGTCCAGTCCTAATCGATGCCTGCGCTGCATGAATAAACATGAGCTTGTCGAGTGTGAACAGTTTCGATCTGATGAAGTTCAAGCTCGATGGAACATTGTTAAGCAGAACAGATTGTGCCACGTCTGCTTGAAATCTGGTCACATGCGCAGTTGGTGCGAGTCTAGAATCTTTTGCAAGTGTGGAAGTGATAGACGACATCACATGCTGTTACATAATCCTCCTAGAAGGAAAGAAGGTAGTGCTGGGCAGGAGCCCCACCCAGACGGACAAATGGAGAGTCAGACAAAAGGATCACATAGCGACACCCAGGGCAAAACGGAAGAAGTACAAAACCCGCAAAGGGCCATGGAACAGTATGCTACTGTTACAGGAGCTGTTTCAAGAACGGTCCTACTGCATGTCGTACCTATTAAGGTGATGGCTCCGAATGGGTCTTCGTTAACCACTTATGGTCTGTTGGACAATGCATCTCGAGGGACTATTATTAGTAGTGACATTGCGAACAGTCTAGGCTTAAAAGGGCAGAGAGAGCTTGTATCTGTGAACACTGTAATGGAAAAAAACCAACAAGGAATTTGAACTAGTGAATTTCCAGCTACAGTCGGCTAATGGTGAAGGAGAGATTATTAATGTAGAAGAAGGACTTGTGTCAACCAAGTTTAACATTTCAGAAAGGTGTCTTCCTAAGGACATTGATACAACCATCTATCCCCATCTGAAAGATATAGAGATCCCTGAAGTAGAAGT